CAATGCCAAACTAGGATAAAACTATTTTTTTTTATAGGCAAGAAAGAAAGGAGATTTTCTCATATGAAGCTGTCTATGCTATTTTTTGCAAACTAATTACTCTTTAAGATAGGCAAAGCAATTGCAGTGATTATAATTACAAGTAAATCTCCTTACCTAACGCGTTGTTGTTTTAGCTGATCATGATTCACTGAAGCTCATTATACATCAAATCCACCTAGCTAGTCTTCTAATCAAGTGTGTCACTAAATTTAATTTGCTGGACTTAGGATTAACTCGAAATGCTGATTCCTTTCGCAATCAGTGATATGGTTATCGAGTATGTCCATGACTGTGGTCAGGTTCAAATCAGAGGGGCTAAGAATTCTCAATCAAATTCTTTAACTTACACTTAAGTCAATAAGTCACACTGGCCTGATAACACTAGACAACTTAAATTAATTGAACCATTTCTAGGAACTTTCCTGATTATCAATAAGAAAATGTGATTCACATCAAGTTTATGTTGACTCACATTAACATTATGTAATGTGAAGAGCATATATCCAATTATACACCCAAGCTGATGCTACACATTCAATATACGAGACTGAGGCAGTATAACAGTAGGAGACCAACACGGACAGATAGGTAATACATGGAAGCTGTAATCAACAAAATTGTCTGAACTTGTTATTAAGTACAACTGTAAGATAAAGGCGCATTATAGGTGAGGCAACTAGTTAGTCAATTGAAATGATTCATACCTTAAACAGCATCCGGGTCCTGATGTTTACTACCATTAGTATAAGCCATTCACATGGGTATGTTGCCTAACATACAAGTTGCAAGCATAATCAATAAATAGCAACAAATAAGAGTACATGTCACGGAACAAATAGATCAGATAATAAGAGTACATCAGTACTCTCAAGGTTAACGTACAAGTTGCAAGCATTGGCCAATACTACAGCAACTAATAGGAGTCACGGAACATATAGATAAGAGTACATCAGCAATTTACAAGCCTTGGAATTGACCGGATTATGTAGGAGTCACGGAACTAGTAGATAAGAAGACATCAGCACTCTCCAAGTTAAGGCCTTAATAAGCCTAGAGAACAAACCATGTGAGAACCTTCATTAGGTAGGTCATCCTCATCCATTTCCATCCATCAATAGTAATAATTTTCCGAATGTCTAATGAAACACGGATAATATTAGTCCTAGCTCAACCATTATATAAATGGTTGTTGAACCCTTTAAAATTGCATCATTACTCAAAACTTCTCGTTTACTAAATCTCATTTCCTCCCAAGTTCCGACCTCTCTCTCTATACTATCCACTGATTAAACACTCAAAGCTTTTCTTTCACAAGAATCCCATCGCAAGGATGGCTATTCGCATTACTTCAGTACTCTCTAACGCGAAGCAAATTCTTAACAAAAGTCAGCAAGTAGTCCCAAAAGGGCACATCCCAGTTTATGTAGGAAAGCAAGCTGATAAGAAGAGATATGTGGTGCCGGTTTGTTACCTAAACCACCCTGCATTTCAAGACTTGCTACGAAGTGCTGAAGAAGAGTTCGGCTTCCATCATCCTATGGGCGGTCTGACAATTCCTTGCACTCCAGAAACATTCTTTAAACTGACTTCTGAATTGAAGTGCTGATAATAAACAGAATGACATGAACAACAGCTAGCAATGTAGTTACATTCTATTTTTTAGTCTTGTTTTCTTAGAAAATGTGTTGACCTATAACAAATTAACATTGTACATATTAACATATAATGTATCTTTTTCCCCCTTCTGCATGATTCAGAAGGGTGGTTTTCAATATATTTTCTATGGAAACAAATTTTTTATGACAATTGTCTTAGTTTTCTGTTCAGTTATTTAGCTTGTCAGATATCTGCATTGTCTTTCTGCATAGTCCTGCAACAATTCTCCAGTCTCTGATAAATTTACGAGTATTGCACTGCTGTGTACAACTGATATAAGAATTCGATTATCATGAATCGCAAACTAGCTAGAACAGAGAACATATATGTATTATATATATTTGTAGCATCAAGAATGTGCCTACTCTCTGTTTATGAAACCATTAACCATTGACCCTCTTCTGGTTATGTTACTTTCAACTTACAGGACCATTTAACTGATGATGGCAACAAAATATACAGTAAATCCTGCACTTTTTCGACATAAGACCAAAGAATAAATACTTATACACATTACCAGAATATGATCCACCAACCACTTAAAAGAGATATTTTATACATGTCATCCCTTAGTACTCAGTCAATCCATTTTCGCGGAGTCAATCTTGTACAGCTTCAGATCACCTCATCCTTAGCTTGCCGATGAAATACAGAATATGTCCTCTTGCCTGTCAGGAATCAGGAGTCAGAGCATCTTATTAACTAGATAATAACATTCTAACATGAGAAATGTCAATAGCACTATCAAAGTTTAACTACATATTTGAACTTCAATATATATATCTTAAGTAGTTAAGTTCCATATGTTTTTTTTTTTTTTCAAATGTTTTTAAATTCACGGCATGATGGAGTGTCAAATCTGTATTTCTTGAACCATAACAAAGGGAGTCCGAGTAACATATGACAAACAACATCGTCAAGCAATATAATCACATAAACAAGTCACACCAGCAACTTGAAGTAAAACCTTATTAGCAATAGGGTCCTCAAATATACGAATTGCTTGCACTTGCAAGGACATATCACACACCCTCTACTTTATTAGTGTTGAATAAGACAGTTTCTAATAAGACCCAGGAAATATATAGTCCCGGTACTTGTAGGACTAGTCTGACATAACCCCTCACGCCGTTCAGGTGGAGCATCCCCCTCAAATGCAACATGTAGGCCAAGCAAGAGAGTGGCTTTGCAATTTGCAATGCTAAGAAAACAAAGCCATGTGATTGACGGTAAGTCCATTCAACTAGCTTAGTCAGTCTTCGACTTAATTATTATCAAATTTCCTCAAGGAAACGCGGTAATTCCTCTTTTATAAATACCTTCCTTAGCCTTAACAATTGCATCATCACACTCAAAACTTCTCTTTTTCCAAAAGTCTCATTCAATCCTCTCAAGTTTCCACATCTCTTCCATTTCTCTCTTGCACGATTTCAATTCCTTAAATTACAAATTAAAATGGCAATCCGTTTCCCTTCGGTACTCTCTAGTTCAAAGCAAATGCGAACAAAAAACCAGCAAGCAGTTCCAAAGGGGCACATCCCAGTGTATGTGGGAGAGCAAGCTGATAAGAAAAGATATGTGGTGCCACTATCTTACTTGAGCCACCCCTTATTCCAAGACTTGCTACAACGTGCTGAAGAAGAGTTCGGGTTCAATCATCCCATGGGTGCACTCACTATTCCTTGCACCGAAGAAATATTCTTCAGCCTTACTTCCGAACTTAGATGCTAATACAACATAGAACAAGATTAAGATCACGATGTTTTTTTCGATTCACATAGAACTGTACAGATTGATGTAACTTTCCCCCCATCTGCATCATTCAGTGGGGTGGTATACAATTATTAATCCATTGACTCAAACTTTCAGATTATATTTTTCTTGCCTTGATTTCAGTTTCTTAATGGTTCTAATTGAATGTCCAGCAGCAATTACAGTTATGATACCATATCATTGAATTAATTGGCAAAATATGACAATAACAATTATAGAAAGAGTACAATTTTAACATACACCAAGTACTATACTAATGTTAATCACACTGGTACATTCAGGTCACATATCTGATTTCAATCTATCTTTCCTTATGCAACCTTCTTACCAAAAACTCGATTCAAAATTTGCTTCATCGAGCAGCAGAAGATTTTGAGTTCTGAGGGCCTAATAACCATAATTCCATGCAGCAAGGAAACCTTTGACTCTTTTACTTAAATTTCTTATCTTTCAGTCTATCACAATTATAATTCCACTATTTAAGCAGATTGAGATTAAGGGAACTTGCTAAACATCAAACAGTCTTCTGATTGGCCTAGTAATCTAGTATATATACCAATTAAGTACAAAAGGACTGGTTACAAAATATACTATATTTATGTTATTCCAAAGTCCATAATATTTGAAGAAAAAGATGTTATAATTATAGTTTGCTGTTTGAACATATAATAAGAACTTTACCATCTCTAAGGTATACATTACTTGACTTTACACACCATATACTTGTCCATTAATGTTTATGCAGAAAGATGGCAAGGATGATCAATCACATTTTCGAACGACAGAGCACTACTTGTCATGTTTATGATCGACTTATGAGCAAGCCAGTCAAAATATAACAGCTAATCTTAATATTATAGCATCACTTAGTTCATCTCATCTGTTCATTCTTTTAATGAGCACATGTCAATAGCACTATCAATCGAATAGTCGCAAAGTCATCTTCATCAGGACTTTTCCCAGGTGCTTTCCTTGTTAATGAGTAATGTAATGTGCAACTACCAACCAGACATATGGAAAGAAATATATGTTGACTGGCTCAGACGAGTAATCATATATATACATACTTGACTCGTTCTATAAATGCAAAGACATTAATCACAATACACAAGCTGATCGAAGCTTCATTTTCGAGTCCAAGGTCAAAATTAGTATAATTTAAGTAGTCCAACAATGACACATAGGTAGCTTCCTTCAATAGTTCAGTCAATATAAGTGGTTACAGGATATGGAAACTACATTAAAGATATTGTCTGATATGATTAAGTAGCTAGAACTAAAAGATAACGCGATATAGGTGAGGCTACGAGTTGATCAAAATGAATCATACCTTGACAAGCATTTGGGTCATGATGTTACCCTAGTATATACCAATTCACATGAGTATGTTGTCATGATTAAATAGACAATAGGTTGAGAAGCTAAGTTTACAAAGCCATGTGATAGCCTTAATTAGGTGGGTCATAAATCAAAATATTATATTGTCCACAAAATCCCTAGATCTCTAAGTAACATTGGCAATTCACCTAGTATAAATAGCAACTAAAGCCTTTGGATTTGCATCACACTCAAAACTCATCTCTTACAATCAAAATAACATCCAATTCTTCAGTCTCAAGTTCTTACATCGATCTCTCTATTTTCCTCTCTTGCACGGTTTACTCCCAACAATACATACATGGCTATTCGTTTTCCTTCCATGCTTTCTCATGCAAAGCAAATTCTTGCAAGAAATCAGCAAGTAGTCCCAAAGGGACACGTACCAGTTTACGTAGGAGAGCAGGCTGATAAGAAGAGATATGTGGTGCCTCTTTCATACTTAAGCCACCCTACATTCCAACAATTGCTACAACGTGCTGAAGAAGAGTTCGGCTTTGATCATCCTATGGGTTGTCTGACGATTCCTTGCACTACAGAAACGTTCTTCAAACTAACTTCTGAATTGAAGTGCTAATGGACTGATGTGAAGAACAAACAACAATGTTTCATTGACTTAGATTTTTTATGGGTTTTTTTTTTTGTAAAGATGTCTATCAACCCTGCACAAATTAACACTGTATAGAATACAATGTACTTTTCCCCCCATCTGCATCATTCAGAGGGGTGGCTCTTAATATAATTTCAAAGACTCGAATTTTGGATTATCATTGTTTACCTCTTAATTATTTTCAGTTTATCAGATTTATTTCTGTACTGTCATTCCTTATGATCCTGTAACAGTTCTGTAGTTTCTGACTTTCCGATACCTCTGATTGAGTGAACTTGAGCCTGATACAACCAAAACAAACAGGAAACAAACCATGATAGAAAAAAAAGTTGTAAGTTAGTAAGCATAGATTTGAAAAATGAGATTTTTGAGTGAACTTAATTAGATCTACATATTTGAGCATAAATAAGATCAAGCGATAATGGTATATAAGTGTTTCCTATTCATTAAGGTTAGTTAAAAAATGAAGCATATATATGAGGGTTAAAGTAGGCTTTTAAGAATTTCCATGGGTTTTAGTATAAGATACAGGATTCTGTGAGGTGAACACAGGATTCTGTGAGGCTTTTAAGAAGACATATAAGATACAGGATTCTGTGAGGCGAACACAGGATCCTCGTTTCAGAAGGAAGAGTCTCCAAGTAACATACATAATGCATTAATACATCATCTATCATCAAGCTATATAACAATGAAGCAATACTTAGTTTAAGAGTATAGTACTCGTAGTTCCTTAGCATCTAGTTAGGTCCTTGTACGTACATTCGATCACATGGAAATGTTGGATGTCAATTTGAAGCAGTGACCGACAGAGCTTCCTCTAGAGCAATAGGACCCTGGTGACATATTCAGACTTCCAACTTGCAAGACACTGTTCTGATGGATTATATCTCTCGAAAACAACATGTTGTACAATCAACTTAACCCATATATTAGTATAGATTTCCATCTATGATCAATTCATGTATGTTACTCTATATATTAGTATAGATTTCAATTTTTGTACAAGTTGAAATTGAAATTTGAATCCTTTAAACAACAATATGCATGAAGTTTACTTCTGAGATGTGTGTCTAACAGTCAAGTAAATTGCAAGTACCTCATATAATGTAATAACAAAATTAACAATCCATGTAAACAGAAAGTTCAACTTCAGACATTATCAACATCCACAAATAGACCACATTTTCTATTGTCACATTTTTAAATGAGATGACATTCTAAACGAACAATCTTTTTCGCCATGTCAAATTGAGATTATTATTACTTCCAGGCACTTTTCTAGTCTATAAATAATGTGATGAATGATAGGAAACATCAAAGAATGGAACATGTTTATCCAAGCTACAGCTACACATTCATTCCGACAGTTCGTCTACAAGGTCAATCCTGCTAGAAAAAAAGTAATGGATGATTGAATGACACCGTCGACACACAAATGGTTATGAAAACTATATACTAAAAATAAACATATTGTTTTTAATTTATTATATAAAATGTAAATTGAGGCAACACTTTAATGAAGATGAGTCACAACCTAATAGGAGAGGAATACAAGTACAGGCATCTGGGGTCTTGAGATATACTAAGTGTGTGAACTTCACATGGGCTTGTTTAGCTTATAATTAACAGGCTTAGCAAACGACAGATCAACAACGAAGAGCCACGGAAAGATAGAGATGACTCATATCGGTATTGATCAGATTGAGTATCTCCGTTGAGGGAAACAAGCGGGCCACGAAAACGAAAACCGACGGAGAGAAGGACAAATGAGAAATTAAAGGAGGAAAAGGTTTTGTATTGAGAAGCTAAGAAACAAAGCCATGTGAGAGCCCTTAATGAGGTGGGTCAATCATGTCTATTTACACTAATTCGCTACGAAAATGTACCAGTTTTGACTTAGTATAAATAGCCTACCTCAGTGTTTGCAATTGCATCAAACTCAACTCAAAACCTTCTCTAGCAAAACACACAAATTCAACCAACTTTTATACAACTCGATAATTAATTTTCGTTCTTGCACGATTTCCTTTCAACGACATGGCTATTCGATTCCCTTCCGTGCTATCTAAGGCAAAGCAAGTTCTTGCCAAAAATCAGCAAAGTAGTACCAAAGGGGTACATCCCAGTATATGTAGGACAACAAGGTGATCAGAAGAAATACGTGGTGCCGGTTTCCTACTTAAGCCACCCTACGTTCCAAAGCTTGCTACGACGTGCTGAAGAAGAGTTCGGATTCAATCATCCTATGGTGGTCTAACCATTCCTTGCAGTACAGAAACATTCTTCAAACTAACTTCTGAACTGAAGTACTAGTTAGAAATAGATCAGAACAAATTAGTTTTTTCGGGGTTTTTTTGTTGTTCTTTATTATAATTTAGTAACCCCAAGGAAATCGATCTACAATGTACAGATAACAGAATACAATTATGTACTTTTTTTCCCCCACTGTATCATTCAGAGGGGTGGTTCTTCATACATTCTTATAAAAATTCGAGTTTTGTGATATCATTTGCCCTTGCTTTTACATTTTCTAGTTAAATTAATCAAATTTCTGTGTTGTCGTTATTGTTGTAATAATTATCCTGCTGTAGTTCTCCAGTTTCTAATACTCTCCAATCTAGTACAATTACATGACTAAAGGCCTGGTCTGATTTATTGAACTGAATTGAGCTAAACTGAACTAAACTTATTGGAGCTAAACTTAACTGAATTGTTTATGAGAGAAGGAAATTAGGAACTAAACTGAACCGAAATTAAGCTGAAGAGAACATGCCCTAACACAAAAGAAAATCCATGATAGGATAAGAGTATGTGTATAAGACACAATCTCTCCAAACATTTTTTTTTTTTTTTTTGTTTTTTATATTGAAATCATTTGCCTAAAATTATGTGTCAGTCAAAGTGTAACACTTAAAGGAAAAAAAAAAAAAACGAGGGAGGTATGCAACATCTTATCCCAAAATCTATACTACGTATTACACTTAACAATATATCCCAATATCAAAAATTCTTGTACGATCGGTATAAATACAAGTCATTTACCTTCATACACCAAGATTTCAGTGCCTGTCACCAAGTTAACATGCTACCATCCCCATGATAGTTTAGCTTACTAAATCAAATTAGTAAATTGAACCTGCATATTAGAGCAATTATAGTTATGGTCAGGTATTAATATATATTATGTCAATGGAACAATACAGAGATAATTACAGTAACTAAGGGTCTGTTCACTTCAGCTTAATTTCAATTCAGTTCAGTTCAGCTCCTAATTTCCTTCTCTCATAAATATTCATTTCAGCTCTACTCAATTCAGTTTAGTTCAACTCCAATCAGTTCAATTCAGTAAATATAAACATGCCTTAATTAAGTGCTAATTTGTTACATCTACGGAATATACAGATTTTATGTCAGGCTAATAATGTTTAAAGCAGTTCCAATTCTGGGTTTCCTGAATTTGGGATGGACCTGATACTAAAATCGTGCCTTCCTAAGCTACATACATGAAATGATCATTTGAAGAATTTGAACATTTGCCTAATCCCAAACCAGAAATTTAACATCTTAAAATATAAGCACGTACATACATGATTTAACACTTTTAAATGATGACATTCTAACATTCACAAATTAAACCTTTTTTGGGCACTTGATGATGGTGGCAAATACTTATATAAACTAGACATTACAAAGCAAGTCGTGACAACATATATATATTCATAATTTATACTAAACGTGATTAAATGAAAGATATTAATCTCAATATTATCTTACACAAAGCCACATTTAGTGGATCAACGACTGAGACACAGGTGATCACGAAAGCTATGTGTGTATATGTACGATCTGACGACTAAACTGATCACAACCATAAGATAAAGCAATATAAGTGAGACAAGTAGCAAAGTTAATAAAAGAAGTCACAAGCAATTTTATTGATTAGGAATCGTTAACATCTGCGGTCCTAAAATTCACATGGTCTGTTAAGAATATACGAAGTAATCTTCAGGCAAGAAGAAAGTGACTTGTAAACTAATGGGTGCCTTAGAAACAAATGGAGCTACTCATCTCCCTTAATCTAGGACATTATGTGGCTGTGTGTTATCCCTCGATGAGTCCAGTAAATTAGTCTATATTCATTAAAGGAATACCGCGATTCATCTAGTATAAATAGCAACTTAAGGCTTTACAAAATTATTCATCACACTCAACAACTTATCTCTTCCTAAAAGCCACTTCTCCTCCTCCCAACTTAAAATATTTCAATCTCTCGTTTGAGCAATTTCATCGCGAAGATGGCCATTCATTGCCCTTTAGTGCTCTCTAATGACAAGCAAGTTCTTACAAAATATCAGCAAGTACCAAAGGGGTATATCCCAGTTTATGTAGGTGATCAGGGTGATAAGAAGAGATATGTGGTGCCGCTTTCTTACTTAAGCCACCCTTCATTTCAAGACTTGTTACAGCTTGCTGAACAAGAGTTCGGGTTTAATCATTCTATGGGCGGTCTCACAATTCCATGCTCAGAAGAAGCGTTCTTTGAACTAACCTCTGAGCTAAACTGAACGATGTGAAGATGGACCAACGAACCATTGATCTCTAACCTTTTTGAGCTCTTATTGACCTAAGCCGTAGCAAATTAACACTGTACATATGTATATTTTTCTCCAACTGCCTCATTCAAATGGGTGGTTCTCAATATATTTGATTAACTTGTATATATTTTTGTTAAAGGACCAACTCAACTAAAAGTTTAAGCTGGGATTGGTTTATGTACTCTATCAATTTCAATACATCTGCCTTAATTTTCAGTCTTATTGTGTCTCAGATTTTACAATTGTTTATCATTGTCCTGCAAAGAGCAAATCTTATGTTTTCGATACTCTCTTAATACAATGAATATGTGTTTGCTGTTTAACACAAATGGCAAACCAAGAATTGACTGCTTCTTCGTTTCACGAAGCTTTCTATCTTCTTTTTGGCAAACTACAGCATAAAAAAGTACAGCAGTGAGCTGAGTTGATTCTGCAGGAAACTTATATATAACCAATTTTCATATGAACAGCCAAAACACTCCACACATTGCGAAAAACTTTGATAATGTTACTTAAAGCTCGAAATCTAAATACAATAACAAATGAGGAAGTAAAAATCTTGCAAATTAAGTTTTTCTACACAATAACAAATGAACATACTTTTTCAATTAACTGTCTCAATAAATAGCTTTTCAAACAGATATATATACATCAATTCATTGATATTCCTAGTACAAAGTTGCAACAGAGGATTTTCATATAAGACTAAAATTATTCCTCTGTATAGTCATATTCTATACACAAAATGTGCCAACTCAGCATATTCGGGACCTTTTTCAGACACAGACCTTACATACCCTTATCCATGAGCAATGTTGTATGCAATTATGAATCAAACATATAGGAAGAATTAAACTAGTCTTTTGGCTTACTTGCTGGTAGCTAGTCAAATACAGCTATTGAATGCAGAACAATATCTGAGGCCAGCGACGAACACATAGGAAGTTACGGAAACTATATATGGGAACATATTGCCTAAGTTGATTGAAAACATCTACAAGATAAAGTATTAAAGTGATCAGATGAGGCAACAGCTCGATTAGACCATTAATCAAAATTAGTCGTACCTTAATCACTATCTGGGTCCTGATGTATATTTGGTATGCGTCGTTCACATGGGTATGTAATGCATATAATTTACAAGCATTGCAAATGATAAAAGGCAAAAAACGACAGACAATAAAAGCACTTCATCTAGCAATAATGCAAGTTGTTTCCTTTGAAACAAAGACATGTGAGAGCTAAAACAAGGTGAGTCAGCCATGTTCGTCTACATAAGTTTTCTATGAAGTAGTTCTCCTTAGTATATATAAAGCTCGCTAAGCCTTTGTTTATTTCATCACACTCAAAAACTTCAACTCTTCTTTACAAATTAAAAGATTATTTTTAGAAAATTTTGTTTTTCTCAATCTCTTTCAAACAAATTTCATTAAGGATGGCAATCCGTTTCCCTTCTGTACTTTCTAATGCAAGGCAAATACTTACAAGAAATCAGCAAGTAGTACCAAAGGGGTATATCCCGGTTTATGTAGGGGATAAGGCTGATAAAAAGAGATATATGGTGCCGCTTTCTTACTTGAGCAACCCTGTATTCCAAGACTTGTTACAGCGTGCTGAAGAAGAGTTCGGGTTTAATCATCCTATGGGAGGTCTCACAATTCCTTGCTCTGAAGAAAAATTCTTCAGCCTAACTTCTGAACTGAATTGTTAACAGAAAGATATGAAGAACAAACAGATCTGTCATACTTTCTACTCTAACTTAGCGGTTTTTCATGAATGTATATTCATCTTAGACAAACTAACATTGTACAGATATACTTTTCCCCCATCTGCATCATTCAGAAGGGTGGTTCTCAATACATTATTTAATGAACGTAAATTTGGTATCATAATAGCCTACTTTTCATATTCCGCTTGTCAAATTTCTATTTAATCTTTCTTCATATACAGTCTCTGATTCTCCCCAACTGAGTTATGCAAATGTGATTAATACGAATGAAAAAGTAGGATAAAATACACGTATGCAGTAACTTGGCATTAATTATAACGAAAGCAATTAAGATTGTTCACTAAAACTCTTATATCACCATCATTATGTTATGATCATCCCTAAACATATATAATTAGATCACAGCTTCCGTCAGTCCAAAACCATCAGTTTAGAAACATACAAAAAATTGATGCCCCTTTCATCTTCCTAGCAGTCAGTCAACGCCTGAGTCAACTTTGTACCTCCTGCTAACTCTCCCATCAGGAGTCATGGAATCTACATATATTCTGTACTATGAGTATTAAAATTAAGGTCAAGAGATTCTAACTTCCGTGGCAAACCGATACCTAGGCAAAAACCGATACCTAGGCAAATACAGAAACTGACAGGATGGAATTTTAATGGGGTTGTCAATAGGGAGCAAGAAGCACAGAAGTCGGTAAAAAAAATACTTACTGTATTGATGAGGCATATGAACCTAAGACTTAATTTATCCTAGACCACAATGTTAATGACTAGGTCAACACTTAACAATTCATTGGTATGGCCTTATGGGTACAAAAATTAGATTGAATGGCCAATATGAAGATGAAAACAAAGTATTCAGAAAGCTGAGTTCCATAACTTTTTCAAGTTTTTAACTGTACTATTAACAGCATAATTTTATAGGATGTTGATTGTGACAGAGCGCATAATATGAGCCAGGAAATAGATTCAGTACTTGTAGACTCAGTAAACAGCAACCAGTGAGTCCACAAAAAACCTAATTAATATGACTTAAACCTGAGCATCTGAGTCCTTACATTGCATCTACCAAGTGCGCGATTTCACATGGACATGTCACATTATCATTTGCAAGCATTGACTGTGACAGAGCGCATAATACGAGCCAGGAAATAGATTCAGTACTTGTAGCCGTAGGACTGGTCTGGCCAGAACCCTCATGTACTTCAGGTGGAGCTGCACCCCCTCAAGTTAACATGTGGGTCGAAACATGAGTACATAGATAGAATAACAGGGCATTTCTAAACTAAAAATAAACAAGGCCATGTGAAGGTCGTCTTCTCTGTGTGGGTCTGTCTTCTCTACTCATATTACACATAACAGCCACAAATCAATCTACTCCGTATTATAAATAGCACCAAAGGCCTTAGCAATTCCATCACATTCAAACTTCTCAATCTCTTGCAAAGCCTAAATCAACCCTCTAAAGCATTCCTTTCTTTTTCTCTCAAGCACAATTTCCTCACAAAAATGGCAATTCGCTTCCCTTCTGTACTCTCTAACACAAAGCAAATTTGTACAAAAAATCAACAAGTAGTTCCAAAGGGGTACGTACCAGTTTATGTAGGAGAGCAAGCTGATAAGAAGAGATTTGTGGTGCCACTTTCTTACTTGAGCCACCCCGTATTTCAAGACTTGCTACAGCGCGCTGAAGAAGAATATGGGTTCAATCATCCCATGGGTGCTCTTACCATTCCTTGCTCTGAAGACACATTCTTTACTCTTACTTCTGAGCTTAGGTGCTAATAATAGAAGATATGAACAACAACATGATGTTTCACTTGCTGTTCTAATTTTTTTTGGGTTTATTTAGATCAAATTGATACCCGGGAAAAAAAAAAAACTGTACAGACTGATGTAACTTTTTCCCCCCTATCTGCATCATTCAGTGGGGTGGTATTCATTTTCTATACATTTATTGATTCCATTTTCAGATCTCAGTTTTACTTATTTGCAGTTTTCCAGTTTGCCAAGTTCTATTCATTAGAAGTGACTTTCTTTAAACATTTTGGTGATGCTCACAATCAATTAATAGATCGAAACTTATTTTCTTATTTTCTGGTTAACACTGAAATATTAATTTTTCATTCATAATAACACCAAAAACATGAATATTTTTCTACTTAAAAAGTTCTTGTTCTTCTCAAAGAAGCTGGATTAGAGTATTAAAAACCAATTTAACTTAAAACATATATTTCCGTCCACTGGTAGTCTCTTTGATCCGTCAGAAAAGAATGTTAATATATATAGATCTCATATTGAAATATTCTTGACTTGCAGATTGGTAGGTAAGATACTCAAAAGAAAACCTCTAACTAAAGGTCGTGAAATATATATATTATGCATATTTTTTGTTCTGAAAAAAAAAGGAAGGGTTCAATCGGTTCATGTCCTTTCTATGCTTTTCAGAAAAAATAATAATAATAATAAATAAATTATTTGTATTTTCGGATTTTTTAGATTCAATCACACAAGCAAGACATTTTTTTCCCAGATTCTAAAATAAAACATGGAAAGAACAATTTATAGTACTTAAACAAAAAAAATGGAAAAGATGGCTAAAATGCTTGACACCTTCCCAAAGAACAAAACCATACTGTGGTATAAAAATCTTAGATTTTCCATCTTTACATCAAACTACTCTCAAACCACAAAACTCTCGTAATAGAAAACATTTTCATCGCATTTTCCTTATATTTGTTGAAGTTAATGCAGCCTGAACACTGAGATACTCTTGCTCAATAACACCACAATATCAGGAGTCTAAACAGCACTTAACTTATTTGCTGTCATAAAAAAGAAGAAAAATACTCAAAAGACTTTCATTCCTAAATACTCTATATAGAAATTTTCTTAAGTTGCTTACACATAAAAGTAGGATCTAAAATCTCATAAATTAGCAGCACAGTGTTTGCTTCTTGTCATTTTAAACAGAGCAGATTGAAAATGGCAGGTTTCAGGGCACTACTACTTCTGGCCTTAACCCTGAATGTAAGTTTTGCAGTTCTCGGAAGAAGAACTAAAGGTGATGTTGGTGTCTGCTATGGGCTCGTTGGAGACAATCTACCCTCTCCAAAGGATGTGGTCAGTCTCTATAAACGGCACAACATCCGGAAGATGAGGATATTTGAGCCATATCCAGAAGTGCTTGAAGCTCTAAGAGGGAGCAATATCGACCTCACATTGGGTGTTAAGAATACTGATATACCAACTCTTGCATCGAGTGAAGATGCAGCTAATTCGTGGTTCATTAGCAATGTTCATCCTTATGTCAATGACATCCGGATAACATACATCAGTGTTGGTAATGAGGTTATACCAGGAGAGTTTAGCGATTCTATTTTGCCTGCCATGCAGAATCTGCAGAATGTCCTCAGGAGCAATAATCTCGGTATGTGATTACAGATCAACCCTAAATCAGAACTTTGACTTCCATTAATCTTACGACTGGTTCTTGTTTATTATTGCTATAATACACTTTTTAATTTATATTATTTCCCGCTGGAACTAGGTACAAGGACAACCACAGTGGTACATTCAGCAGTGCTAGGAACTTCTTTCCCACCCTCAGCAGCTACATTTTCAGATAGCGCTCGCCCCTTTATCAGCGGAATTATACAATTTCTATCATCACAAAAGTCCCCACTGTTGGTTAATCTCTACCCTTATTTTCCCTATGCTGCAGACCCGGAAAACATAAGACTAGACTATGCACAATTCAGGACAACTGAACCACTGATCAAGGATGGAGCTCTGAGGTACTCCAACCTCCTTGATGCCATGCTTGATGGTTTCTTCTCGGCAATGGAGAAAGAGGGTGTCAATGATGTTAACATCATAATATCTGAGACTGGTTGGCCCCATGATGGGAATGGCAATATCACAACTCCAGGTCTTGCGGCTACTTACAACCGAAATTTCATACATCATGTTAATGACTTTGAAGGGACTCCAAAGAGGCCAGCGGCATTACTAGAAGGATTCATTTTTGCTATGTTCGACGAAGATTTGAAGGATCCTGGTGTTGAGCAACATTGGGGACTTTTCAGCCCCAACATGCAACCAAATTACAATATATTTGGTTGAACTAAAAATTTTGTGAGAGACTATGCAAAAGAATATGGCCTTTATTTTTTCTGATTAATCATATAAAGGCAGTTAGGAGAGCAAAATTTGGTGGATATAACATTATAACCTGATAAACTATACGGAAAATTTTCATATACAACTCATAAATATAGGGCTTTCTACTTACAGATTTTCATCAGTCCAGGGAAAGATTCCCAGTACGAATTTTGCGCTGCTGATGCGTGATTTCTTTGGCTAATCTTAATTGAGATAATCCCATTTGTGCTTGTGCTTGTCCTTGTGTTTGTGCCTGGTTCCCAGTAAATGAAGGAACAAGTTTTGGCTGAAGCCATTTTTTTACAGCAAATCCATTGATTTTGATTTTGCCACTCGATTCAGATCCTTGATATGGTAGCCGTAATCTCCTAAATAAAGCTCCAATTGCTTGACTAAGCCTGCAATAAGAAATGACACAATGAATTGCTGTTAAGCATGTTTGTCTTTTTAATTTAGCCAAGTTGTGCCAGATCTACACAATTAAAATTGCATTAGAGTATTAACGATTGAGAATTAAAATCTAAACATTTTTTTAGAGCCTTTAGAGAATCCTGAAGCTTGCTTGGATAAAGTTTGTGCAAACAATATGGCAAAAAAAAAAAAAAAAATAAAATAAAAAAAAAAAAAAAGATCCTTTATATAAAATTGCATTTGGTGCGTCTTCACACTTTCCTCCAGCATAAATTTGTATTTCTCCTAAACAATGCAAATGCTTTCCTTGCAATAAATAATCTACAAAGTACAAACTACAGTGCATACCATAAACCTTGAGGCCACCATATAAGTAGTTCTCGTGATAGCTCAAACAGTCAAACGCAATCTCAATCTATATTCAGAAAACCCATTTAAGTGCTTAAAGCATGACTAACCTTGCAGAGAGATTGATTGTTTTTTCTCCTTTAGGACGTGTAATGTCTGTTGTCTCCACAGGCAGTGAAATAGTTATACTGGGTACCTTTGCACCTGCATAATTATTCAAATAAAGCGATCAAGGTCTTTTATGCATTCGGCAGTTACAACATATTTTGACTCGGACATTAATGCCATAGAATAGCAACTTTTCAGAGAGCTGTGGAGTGGACAAACTAATATGGTAATCTCTCTACGGAGGAAATTTCAACATTTATTGATCAGGCTCACTTCTGCAATTTTGGCAAGGCAATGCCAAGATAGCAGCTTCTAGAAAAAGCAAGGACCCCAATGGCTCATATTGGTAGAAGTCAATTTTGGGCAATTGACGAAAATGAGTTTTTGTCTAATAATAGGTGGAAAATCTGCGATATGAATGTCCATGTTAAATTTTTAATATATGTACACTGCCAAGAATGTGTACAATAATTCCTGTGCCACTCATACCCACTATATCAGGAAGTAACAAGGGATGTTGAGAATTATCAATAAATACAACAAGCTGAGGATTAAAATTGCATTACCATGACAATACATGGGAAATTCCATTCAAATATTCACACAATTTGTTTCCATTTGTCACTGTTCTAACTCCAACTGAGCCATAAACTCGTGTATACAGAAAGCAACTTCAGAAGATAGAATACTAGGGGGAAAAGAGACCTAAAATCCCTGCAACATACATCTATCAAATAGATATATCCCAACATGACTACAAATTATATGCAAAAAATTGCAGTTCAAGCAAATTACAAAAGATTGATGAAACACGGGTGAGAGAGAATTGGGATGAAAAGGACCATCATTAGGTGGCTGCTCAGAGCAATAGAACAAGTTCGACTGAAGATAAAAAAACTATACAAAGTATATAATAATTCAGAATCTACTAGGACATGCAGACCAAAAAAAAAAAAAAAAAAATAAATAAATAAAATAAAATTCTAAGATCACCAAGATAATAGACACAGCAGGGTTTCATGTAAAAGATAAAGAGGACAATTCAACTTGATGAAAATAGAAAGCATGCATCAATAATACATTAATAAGAAAAGATAAGCTTAATCATACCAGCAGCAAGACGATGCTTGAGTCCTTTTAAAACTGTTAGGATATATACCTGAGAGAATATGATGAACAAGAATTGATTAGCAGTCAGCATCGAATGAATGATATGCAAAAAGTAAACAGAATTGAGCAGCAATCCTAAAGTATTCCCTATTTCAATTATGTCAGGCAGCTAAAAGGATTCCATGATTCTGATATTAGTAATCTAGACTGAAAAGTACTTTAGTTTATATCTCTACTATTAAACAATGTGCTAGATATCTATACTGTAGAAATGTGTCTACTTGGGAACAAGACAACAACAGAAGCAGCATATATGAACATGTCTGGAGCTAGCAAAGAGATGGTGCAATTAATGAGCACCCCTGAAGAGAGAGGCAAGGACAGGTTGGATACCATACTATTCAATGAAAATTAAAGCCCCATGCATGATATAAATACCTTAAACACTGCAGTTTCATACCAAGACAAAAATAATGGATGAATGTTTCGGTTGATTTGGAATTTATCAAAGGATGAAGTATTATGGTTAACGAAAATTTGGGAAAATAATAATCAAAGACATGTTCAAATGCAGAACATGGGTGATTAATCATCATACTCTTAAACTGGGTCTACCACCAAAATAACAGGTGGCAACAGATCATATAACCACTTGGATTCAAAGAGCAATGAATAAATATATATGGACATTGTGTGTACTTAGCCAAGTTCATTTTGTGATCATGCTGGTCTTGAAACATGATAAAGGTTCCCTCAAAAAAAAAATTACAGATCCCAGTTGTCCAAAATGTAACCAATGCTAAGAAGGCAGAGGAGGGGGAGGGGAGGTGGGTGGCGGACTCACCTCTGCTACGTGAATGTTCAAATCTGTTGCATCAATTACAATGGGACTTTCTTTAAAGGAAGCACCAGGTACAATGCCAAGTGAAGCAGCTTCCTAAAAGAAAAAAAAAAGTCCAGATATCATCTTCAATGAGAGAAGAAGTATTAATGAAATTAGCATAAGATTAATCGGGCTGCACAAAATCTCTTCTAAGTTTGTTTGATGTAATTGAAAATTTTACAATAAGAAAGTGTAACCAATACCTTAGGCACGTGCGTTAGATGCATATCATATCATATGAAAAGACCATTATAACCAACTGACCCTAATACAGTAATACATAAAGATTCAAATAATGTGTATCATCACACGAGAGCTTATAAGCAAATTGTTATAATTAGTAAATAACCTGTTTCTCCTAGTGTATATCCTTTGTCGAAGACTGAACCTTTTATTTGTTGTGGAGGGGGGGGGGTTGAACTTGTATAGTTTGAAGGAAAAATATAAATTGAAGTGCTGCTACAATTCTAATCATGTTTAAAATATCAACAAAATCAATTCAGACACAAACATCATCCATGAAAGACCGCATGAGTCTACATGATGTAGTAGTGAAAAGATGGAAGGGTGAGTTAGTATACAGCTAACCTCAAACAACGAAAAAGAACGAGGGTCATATTCTGCAAAACCGTCTATCAATGGAAAGAGGCTTGCACTTCTTGATGTTTCTGCATTGATTCCCAAAGTCTCAATAAGCCTCTTCTTCAAGGATACATCTTTTGGTAGCTGTAAACATCCCAAAACTTGAGAAAGAATATCCATAGAAGGGACCAAACCAGATCCTATCATTTCACGGTAAATCATTAAAGCCAAGGATGCCCTGAAGACAACAGAAGAGAAAAAGGGGAAAACGTCTTAGACATAATATTTGTAATACTGCGTACAACATTTCAACGAGCATACATTAAAAAAGCCACACATATGTGAGCGTATGAAATATAACTAAGTAATCTTAGCCAAACGATTAAATGAGAACAGCCTAGATTTCCTCTTTACTAATATGTGCTCAAGACCGTGCCAATTCTGATTTAGAAGAAATCAAAGGAGCTAGAGTATGTATATTGATATTGAAGTGTGAATTCCTTTTACATCGTCAAGTTTGATAATCTAGTGTCATTTGAGGAAATTATTTAAGTGGCCTTTTTAAGTTTCTTAAAGCCTCCATCCAGGGTACAGTGGACCGACCAACCAAGGTAGACCCTCCATCTTCACTACTAGTTATGAGCTAGTAGCCCTAATCGCATGCCTAACACTCATATCCCAACCATCCCTCTTATTCGAATACTTTAGCTTTTAGGGGGGAAAAGGGTGGGGGGGGTCTTTCAGTTGCTGTAAGACTGCTTCTCTTTCAATATGTGGGAGAATGTGTACCAAAACTTAACTAATTTTTCAGTTCAATCATCCAAGTGACCTTATACCATGAGATATATACAAAAGAAGGTTAGTCCTCTTAATGAAAAAGAAGCAAATCTTAAACCAGATGTGCCCTGGAACTTTTACCAATGGTTAGTAAAAAACATCCTGAAGTGTCAAGTGTCCATTAGAAGAACCAATGCAGGTTAAGTCCTTTGAATGGAAAAAAAATGATTAAGATTTCTTAAACAGATGTGAACTGGAACTTTTCACCATTGGTTGGTTAAAAAAAAAATAACTGAAGTAGTTCCATTAGAGTATCCAGTGTAGGATTTCCCCCACCCCCCACAAATTTTAGCCACATAGCTCCAGTGAAGAAAAGTCGGCAAAGGAACTTGTTTCAGCCATATGTCACTTTGTTATGTCAAAATGAAGAAAAGTGATGACAATAAGCACACAACATAAATCAATCCATCAACATATAGAGGGCAGATGGAATACCATTTGCTGTCAATTTGCGGACGTCCAGACTTAAAAGATAAAACAGGCTCACCAATTGTAGAAGCCCTCTCATATCTCCGGTAGCACATTTCTGTAAGATGCATTGCAGCAACAGAAATCAATTACAAAGATATTTTTATGTTAAAAATAAATTAATATATTTAAAAAGATATTAGGAAAAATATAAAAAAGAAACACTCTGTAGCAAAAAGCTTTATAATATATAAAGACATATAAACCCATAAAACAAGAAGGGTAACAAGCAAGGCCTATAAAAATGACTA